CTTCTACTTCTTCTTCTACTTCTTCTACTTCTAATTTCATGATTAAAAATATGACTTAAAAATAAAATGAATCTAAGTTTGTGGTTGGCTTGGTGGGTATTGATCACTGACTTTGTAATGCTCCTGTTTCCTATTTTGGGATTTGTTTTAAAAAAAAAAAAAAACAGTGAATAAAAAAAAAAAAAAAAGATAAATAAATAAAAATGACTTTAAGAAACTGTTTGAGAGTCTTGACAAAGAGGAAATGTCTAATTTTATTAGTGGACTTCTATCAAACAGAGACTGGAGGATAAACTAATCCAGCTAATTCCTATTAGCTGAATTAGCTAAATTCACATTTGTCCAAAGTCTGAGAGTTAAAAGGACTGAGATTCATAGAGAATTTAAACTTAAATGGGCCAAAAAGTGACCTGATCCAGAGAAAAGGTTCCATATAAACACAAGTGGGGTTTGATTAGATTGTCCAATCACAGAAGTCTTATCCAGATCATTCCAGTTTAACCCAGATAATCTAACACACAATACTCAGAAGCCGTGAGGAACAAATCATAATTAATCTTTTTACCTTCTCAAAATCTTAACTTTCTAACTGAAATATGGTGTGAAACAAACAGCTACAGCTCGTTCACCTCACCTCCATTTTGTGTCTGAAACATGAATTTCTGTTTCAAGATTTTATCAAATACCACTGAAAATGTTGACTTTTTGTTCATTTAACATTTAAAATTAAACAAGTGGTCTCCAAGTTAAACCAGACACATTTTTACCTCACAAAATAAAACGTAGTCTTACTTTTCTGTGGAATTTAATTCCACGAATGCCGCTGGTTCTCATGGAGAACAGGCCAGCTCTAAAATACATTAATACATAAATACTGCTCAAAAATGGTGTCAGGCGTATGATTTAATTCAGTTAAGATGTGAAGGCCATGATACGGGTTAATTTTATTTTTCTACACGAGCTAACAAGTCCCCTGACTCAGTATAAACACATTTATAGGACTAGCTATATAGACACCAAAAGCAGATAAATGTGAATGACGTACACAGTTGTTTCTCAAATCCAGAATCTCTAGTGGTGTGTAAAGCCGTGTTATCAGTACGAGGCATAAATCTATACAGCTACTATAAAAGTTGTTAGCCAGGTTTTTATGCAAAATATAATTACAACCAGAGTTGTTGAACCACTGAACCACAAGTTCAGTATCTAAAGAATTTCTGGGTTAAAGGCTGTTTGGAAAAACTTCTCTGAAATAGTGCCTGTGTTTAGATTATTTAGATAGATAGATAGATAGATAGATAGATAGATAGATAGATAGATAG